CTTGCCAGCTTCCCAATTCTTAAAAGACTTAGCTGATGAGATGGGTGTAAATGTTAACAACTATATAATTAAATTTGTCAACATTTAGAAAAGCTACATAAACCAGTGAACCAATGATTTCTAAATGACCAATGTATGATGTCATAAAATCGTGCATGGTAAATATTCATTCAAAATGCAAGACAGACCAATGAATTTGAATGTAACACTGTACAAAAGTTCAATAATATGGTTTCAGATTCCATATTGCAACAAATCTTTAGAAACCTGCCAGTGCAAAAAAAAAAAGAACCCTGTGAGCGCAGTGTCAAAGGAGAATATAATTATTTGAAAAGGTTATTAAAACATTCCTCCCAGCACATGTACCCCAATGTTCATAGCAGCACTCTCCACAATAGCTAAAACATGGAAAGAGCCTAAGTGTCCACCAACAGATGAATGGATCAAGAAGATGTGAATGAAATCTGGCCATGTGTAGCAACATGGATGGACCTTGAGGGTGTTATGCTGAGCGAAATAAGTCAGGCAGAGAAGGACAAATATCATATGTTTGCACGTATAGGAGGATTAGGAGGAACTTGACGGAGGAACAAGGGGGAGAAGAAGGGTGGAAATGGTGGGGGAAAGGGAGAGGGGCAAACCATGAGAGACTCTTGACTGCTTACAAAAACTGAGGACTGATGGATGTGGGGGGGAGGGGGGAGGGGCATGGAGGAGGACACTTGTGGGGATGAGCACTGAGTGTTACATGGAAACTAATTTGACAATAAACTATTTGTAAAAAAAAATAAATAAATAAATAAATAAAACATTCCTCCCTTTTCCACATTTTTCTGTTTGAGGCAGGATTTTCTTCACATAGTTCAACCAAAACAACCTATCAACCATCTAATGCAAAAGATCTGCAAATCCAGTGGTCCTCTATTAAGCCAGACTATCAAAGACATTTACAAACATGTAAAACAACCCCACTCTTGTCACTAATATTTTTAAATTGTTAACAAATGAGTTTACTATTTTTTTAAGTCAATAAGTCTTTTAAAAAAAAATTAATTTCGATGGGGCACCTGGGTAGCTCAGCTGGTTAGGCATCCAACTTTGGCTCAGGTCATGATTTCAGGTCATTAGTCCAAGCCCTGCATCAGGCTCTGTGCTGACAGCTCTGAGCCTGGAGCCTGCTTCGGATTCTGTGTCTCCCTCTCCCTCTGCCCCTTCCTCACCTATGCTGTCTGTATCTCTTCGTCTCTCTCTCTCAAAAATAAACATTAAAAAAATTTTTTTAATTTCAATTTATAGTACGGTAAATAGGAGTAAAGCCATATAAACAAAGGTTCTCTGGAGTCCTCAATAGTCCAAAGACCTCAAATTTTGAGAACTGCTGTACTAGACTATTCCTATAGCCTCCTTCTAATTCACCTGCCAGACTCCAGTCTGACATCTTCCAATTTACACTACGACCCTCACCAGCTTAAATTCATTCTTAGTATCAGACTTAGCTAATTGGAGCTATATTTTAAGAAATACTTCTCATTCCTCTACTACTAAACTGCGTTAAGCTGAATTAAGTACAAACTCTTCAATATAACAATTCACAGTGTCAGTACAAAAGGACAAGACTTCTGACCAATGCATATTCATATGACATCAAATTATCAGTGATATGAAAGATAATGGAATCCCACAGTATCACATTTAATTGCATCAATTCAACTACAAGCTCTTTTGCCTTCTTCCACAAAAAGAGAACTAGATATTGCTTTACTTACCCAATGGCCTATCTCCTCTCAATCAAGACCCTGATTTCTATCCCAAGGGATTAGAAAGGGAGGCTAAGGGGGACAAAAACAAGAGACTCTTAAATATGGAGAACAGAGGGTTACTGGAGGGGTGGTGGGAAAAGGGATGGGCTACATGGGTGAGGGCTATTAAGGAATCTACTCTTGAAATCATTATTGCACTATATGCTAACTAACTTGGATATAAAGTTTTAAAAAATTAACAATAAAAAAAGAGAACTGGCTGAGCATGGGTGTGGGAAATGAGAAAGAAAAAAATATAGAAAGGGAGGCTACCAGAGAAATAAAGGAAACTAAAGAAAGTTACTCTAGGACTCTTAGCTTTTCAGCTGCCAAATACCAGATTTTGACAATTTAAGGGTTTTTCAAGGACAGTCTGACAAAATACAAGCATTTGTAAAGCTGACTTTACAAGCATACACCACGTAAGATAAAGGTATGGACTTTACTGAAATATTGGTAATGTATTCTCAAGAGCAGTGATCTTCCAATCCAGGCAATTTTGTCTCCCAGTGGACAGCTAACAATGTTTGGAAACCTTTCTAATTGTTACAACTCGGGTAGAAATTATTATGGATATCTAATGGATAGAGGTGGGGAAGGCTGCTAAATATCCACCAATACAATACACAACATAGCTCCCAGACAAAAAGAATGATGTGGCCCAAAATGTCAACAGTGGTCAGGCTGACAAATCTTCTCTAGAGACATGTGATGCCAAATACTTAGGTTAAATTCCAAACCCAAAGACGTGCACTAAATTCTCAAGAAACGTTGTTTACATGCGTTACTCTAATGCCTATATTGTTAAATCTCTCAATTTCTTAGTCCTTTAATCTTCCAACAAGTTGCATAATTACAATGCTCAATGTAATACAATGTGCTCTCTACTGGAAATTAAACATCAGAACTACTACCCCTTCTTAGGTTCATTGCTACAATAAAAATAGTATCACAATAAAATAATATACCAAATTTCTTCCAAGCTGTAAATTGGGTTCCCTAAAAGTTCTATTTGCTCTTAGCTATCTAGGAACTAGCAGACATGAATAAAGTCAGATACCAAAGTACCATGAAACATATGAACGGTATAGGTCCTCCTATCTAGGCCCCGTATTTCAGAAGCACACATATACACATCCTTTTTATAGACTATTTTTAGGTTTGACTATTCTATATTTGTTTATCCCTTCAAGGAAAAACTGAACGCCCATTGTGTGCCAAGCAACCTGAATACAAGACAAAAATATTTTACCACCATCTAAATATGATAAACAGCTAAAATACAAAATGATGTGTGCTATAAATAGAAGTATCAAATAAGTGTTATGGAAGCTTACAGGAGACAGAATGCCAGGAAAGGCTTCCCAGAAAAGGGTGATGCTTGAACTGAGAAAATGTCACAGAAAATACTCTGTTCACATCTCAGTGTTTAAACTACTTCTCTTCTGCTCTTACGCACTAGTTTTCAGTTTTTGCTTTGTCATCTAAACAAGAGCAAAGTGATTATCTGACCAATGTAAATAGACCAAAGTGGCAACTTTCAATTCAATTTCATCAAATCATCTTAATGAAGAATCAAAGATTAATTCAATCAAAGTACTTCCCAGTACCTCCAGTTTGTCCAAATTCTGGTTTTGTTTTGTTTTGTTTTAATATTTTTATTTATTTCTAGGAGAGAGAGAGAGACAGCGTGGGCAGGGGACGGTCAGAGAGAGGAGACACAGACTCTGAAATAGGCTCCAGGCTTCGAGCTGGCAGTCAGCACAGAGCCCGACGCGGGGCTCGAACCCACGAACCGCGAGATCATGACCTAAGCGAAAGTCGGACGCTCAACCGACTAAGCCACCCAGGCGCCCCTGGTTTTGTTTTTTAAATATCGTTAACTTCTTCCACCAAGTAAACATACCATCTGTCAACCCAGTTAACCAACACTTCTTTCTGAATTTATAAGACTGTCAGAGAGAAGGATCACTGCTCTTTTCTTTCTTCCAGTTAGTTTCTCCTTCCAAAGTTTCATTTTCTCACCTTATTCTACTACAATACTTTGAATTCTGAACCAGAAAGGAGCCATGAGCTCCAAGGTACTAGAACTACAAAATGACCGCTATCTTTCTAAGTCTTGTCTATATTTCCTGCTTTCTATTCTAATACTTTTGTGAATCACTAACTGGACTCTTTCTTCTGAGTCCCCAGAAGCTGACACAAGTAAAAATTTCAGATTTGAAACAGGAAACTAGCCAAAGACATGTATGTAGTCTAATCGATTCGTTTCCAATACGTTACATCATTGACATTCTTAACCGACTTTTCAGTTCTCATAGTTTAGGTTGGGGTACCCCATATGAAGCTTCTTCCTGCCTTACTACAAACAGAACTGGTAGCAACCAGAACGGAAACGCTACTGAAGACTGCTGCCAACTACCGAACGCCCCCGGTCCCTGCCGCCAATAATGGGAGGCTGTAACACCCAAGGACGGTGATATACGAGAAAATTTTCTAGACTGAGTCAGATCTGTTATTGGCTAATCCCGTCCCTTCTCTGGGCCTGTTTCTCCAACTATAAACTTGCTAGTGATGTACCGTGGGGTGATTGGCTTAATTTCTAAGGTCCTTCTGGCTACAGTAATCCAGAAATCCCATCTTTCTCACCTAGTTTTACGTAGAACACGTGAAGGACAAAAAATAACCTTTTACTCCAATAAGCCGACCTTAATTCTCAGATACTGTTTTTAAAAAAGCTAACAAACTACCGACCCACCCACCCTAAACCTCGGGCAAATCTTGGCACGCCGTGGAGTAGCCAGGACAAATTGAAGCCCATCCCATGCTACGGTCAAGGAAGTGCTGGGGATACCCCTAGTCCGGGTGTTAAGACGCGGCCCCCGAAAAGGGCCCGCCCACCTAATCGCAGCCAGGAAAATGAATGAGTGCCACCAGATACACGGACGCTCCTTCAGCGTAGGCTGCAACTGGAGACCCCGGGGCCCATACTCCACCGATATCGATTCCCTCTCAGCGTACGAGGAGCCTGGCCTCCGGGCCACAGGGTCCCGGGCTCCGCCTACTCCCTCAGGGCAGTAGGTGCGCGCCGGGGCGCGAGACTTCTGCGAGGAGGCCTGGGACGCCCAGCGCACCCGCCCGCCCTGACGAGAGGAGGAGCCTGTTGGTCCCGGGCCGCCACCGCCCCGGCTCCCGACTTACCGCGGTGCGGTGGGGGGAAGGGAAGTGTCAGGAGCGAAGGCCTAGGCCCGTCCACCACCCGCCGCTCAGAGAGCAGCGCGCGGCCGCCACGAAACCGTCGCCGCCGCTACCACCACCGCCACCGACCGCCGCTACGGGCGCAGCGCGCAGAGGGCCCGACTGCGTCACACGCCGCCCGCCGTCAGAGGCTGGCTCCCGGCGCTCCGCCCTCGCTGTCTGAGCATTGGCAGAAGCCGCCGCCACTCCAGGCCCGCCCTGTTATTCATTGGGCAACGAGTCTTTTGAAACCGAACGTGAGGGCGGTCTTAGGGAGAAAGGGAGAGGGGGAAGAGGAGGGACAGAGGAGTTACGGGGAGGAGCGGGGAGGGGCGATGGGAGGGACATGGAGTCCCGCCCCTCTCTGCCGCGATTGGCTGCGGGGAGTCGTGACGTCATACAGGGCCCCTCCCCCAAGAGGGCTTGTCAGTGGCTACGTTGGGGTGCATCGGGAGGGGTAGGAGAGACGAGTGGTGACGCTATACCGAGGCTCCGCCCCATTTCTTGGAGCCAAGACAGTCGGGCAGCTGAAGCTAGGGCCAATCAGAGGGAAGGCTCCGACGATGGCATGGTAACTATTCTACCCTTTCCTTGCCCTAGTCCGCGGGCGGTGATGGGAAGGCTTCCCCATAGTCCTGCCCGCACTTCCTGGCCAGACCACGTGCGGAGCTGGAGGGCCCTCCTGGGAGGTTTGTCTCTCCGCGTAGCCTGCCTGCAGCTGCTACGAGGCCCCAAACCCTGGCCTCCTGGTCCTCCAACCCATGCTGGCCCTATCACAACCGTTCTTTCTTTGAATCTCTCGAATGTACGCTGTGAGCATCCCCTAAGGGAATGGCTCAATGTAGGATTTGTTACAAACGAGGGTTCTTGGAACTTCTTTCCCACCTGCACTTTAGGAATTCATTTATTTTTAAAGGCCTGGTTCAAATGTTCCTGCCTTCTCTGGTATACATTGCTGGATCTCTCTCAGGGAGTTTGGCTAATACTTGGGCAGGCCTCTGTTACAGCCTTGTCACTTTGTATCCTATTATTTACTTTCGTGTCTTCTCTACCCAGGCTCTTAGAAGTCAGAGCTATGTTTTATTCATTTGGGTTTCTTTCTCCCGGGGCCTAACCCAGAACAGAAGCTTGATATTACAAGAGAGAAGGTTGAGCATGTTCTAGAAACTAGACCTGGTGACTCAGGGTGCCACACGGAATAGCAGGGACTGTGCTCAGAATGCAAAACCTATTCAGACTACCTCTCCACCACCACTTTCTCCTGGAACATCAACAGAAAATTAAAATGGGCTCTGCCCAAAAGTAGATGAATTTAAATCCCTCTGAGTGTTCAGTGGTAGCAAGGGATTAGAAATAATTGATTAATTTGTTCAAAAGTGGAATGGTTGTAAAGATGAAATAACAGGAGAAATCTGGTACATTGTAGGTGCTCAGTAGATGCTCAAAGTAGATCCAAATATTTGGATGACCACATAGTAAAGCTAGTAATATGACTCCAGCCACATTCCCCCCACTCCTGCATCCAAATATCCCTCCCCATCCTCCACCCTCCCTTCCGTTTGTTCTGCATTAGAAAGTCATTAGCTTTCCTTAGATAGTTTACTGTAGTTCCTTACTGACCTACAGAACCTTTGATTTCTCACCCAACAATCCTGAAACCCAACTATGATTAAGTCTCTCCTCTACTTAGTTATTCTGGTGTCCCTACGTCCAACCACACAGTATAAGTACATATGAAATGTTTGACACATGAATAAATGAATGATTTTCTTAAGTAGAATCGTAGTAGAAGTGTGAGAGTTTTGACTTAGGGAACCCTGAGTTTAAACCTGAGCCCAACCATTACTAGCTATGTGAACTTGGGCAAATTTCATAACCCCTGAGCCTTGTCTGTGACAAGTTTCCTTGTCTGTGAAATGAAGGTAACAACTGTAATTGCCTTTTAGGATTGTCGAGAGAATAAAATTAGATAAAGTATTTAGTATGATACCCAATATGTAGTAAGCCCTCAATAAATGATAATTATTTCTATTCTTTAAAAATGTCAAGGAATTCCCATTCTAAATATTCTAAGACATTGATTCTGACACAGAAATGGCTCCCAGAAATATATTCTGAATGATTAATTAAGTAAATACATTCAGTACAAAGTACTGACAGATATGCAGGAGCTTGGATCCTCAAATAGTGCAGACTTGTGGGAAGACTGGAGGAAGAGACATTAGATGAGTGCAGCAGGGAGGAATTTCTTATGACCCTGGTGATTTCTAAGTAGAAGGACCTCTTGTTAGATATTCTGGTAGGCATGTGGCCCACGTGCTCATCATTCCCAGGTACTTCTGCCCTCAGAAGGACTTTGTGGACGACATACTCTCACTCTGCCTAATTCTCATAACCCTCCTCTATTCTCTTCATCTTTCTTCTTCCCTTCTAAAGAAAAGAAGTTTGGTGCGTACTCACAAAAACTTGCTGAGCCACGCCCTCTCCTGGGCTTTAGGAGCCCAGAGAAGTCCACAGCTCAACACTGTTGAGGAAAGGGAAGTCCAGGGGCGCCTGGGTGGCTTAGTCGGTTAAGCGTCCGACTTTCGCTTAGGTCATGATCTCGCGGTTAGTGGGTTCGAGCCCCGCGTCGGGCTCTGTGCTGACTGCCAGCTCAGAGCCTGGAGCCTACTTCAGAGTTTGTATCTTCCTCTCTCTCTGACCCTCCCCTGCTCACGCTGTCTCTCTCTCTCTCTCTCACTCTCTCTCCTAGAAATAAATAAAAAATATTAAAAAAAAAAAAAAGAAAGGGAAGTCCAGCTGTGTCCTGGGGAAACCCCAGTGTCTTACATACATACTCTGAGAACTCACCCGATGCAGCTTTGAAGGTGCTCAGAGCGGAGACAGGATCCATAAGGACTGCAGAATCGGGGAAGGGCCAGAGATTTCCTTTCAGAGTGAGGGTCTAGATTTATTTCTTTTTCATTTTAATTTTTTAAATGTTTATTTTTGAGAGAGAGAGAGCGAGAGAGCATGAGCAGGGAAGGGGCAGAGAGAGAGACACACACACAGAATCTGAAGCAAGCTTCAGGGTCTGTGCTGTCATCTCAGACGTGGGGCTCACTCATGAAGCGTGAGATAATGAACTGAGTGGACGCTCCACCAATTGAGCCACTCAGGCAGCCCCTGATGGTCTAGATTTCTTATATGGTGGATTGGAAAGAGTGACAGAGTTGAAGTCGAACAGCTAAGTTTAAGTACCAGACTTGCTACTTTTTAGACCTTGCACAAATTATTTAACTGTTTGTGACCCAGTTTTCTTATCTATGAAAGGGCACAAAAATTCCCATGTTGTAAGGTGATTGTAAATGTCAAATAAGGGTATTTGCAATGGACTGAGCACATGTTTGACACACAGTAAGCACCCAGTTAATGTTGGTTTCCTTCCTCTTTTCCTGCAACTGGATAAGGAAGGATGATGTTTATAAATAGCATAAAATTAGATTTTTATAAATCTTATGTGAATACCTTTGACTTTAAACTAGGGCATTTAGTCTATTGCACTTACAGAATTTACTGATAGATTCAGGATTTTATATAATGTTTTCTCTTTGTCCTACCTGTTCTGTTTCTGTTTTAGTCCTTAATTTTTTTTCATTTTGGTTCTTTTGTAATAATAACTTCCATTTTTTGAGGCCCAGTCCTGCCAGATTTTTAAAATTGAGATATAATTCATGTAATATAATATTTATCCACTTAAAGTATAGAATTCAGAGGGTTGCAGTAAAGTTGACCCTTGAACAACACAGGTTTGAACTGTGCAGGTCGACTTATATGAGGATTTTTTTTCAATAAATACAATACTGTAAATGTGTTTTCTCTTCCTTATGAGTTTCTTAATAACATACTATTTTCTCTAGCTTACTTTATTGTATGACTACAGTCATATAACATACAAAATATGTGTTAATTAACTGTTTACATTGTCAGTAAGGCTTCTGGTCAACAGTAGGCCCTTAGTAGTTAAGGTTTGGGGGAATCAAAAGTTATAAATAGATTTTCGACTGTGTGGAGCTAGTGCCCCAAAACCATGTGTTGTTCAAGGGTCAACTGTATTTATGGAGTTGTACAACCATCACTGCTATCTAATTCCAGAAGATTTTCATAACTCCAAAAAGAAACCCCAGACCATTAGCAGTCATTCCCCATTTCCCCCTTCCCCTAGCAACTACTAATCTACTTTCTGTCTCAAATTTGCCTATCTGAACATTGCCTATAAATGGAATCATACAATACATGGCCTTTGTGTCTGACTTCTTTCACTTAACATGTTTTCAAGGTTCATCTGTGTTATAGCACACCATAACTTCATTCCATTTTATGATAGAATAGTATTCCATTTTATGGTCATATTTTGTTTATACATTCATAAGTTGAATGCCATTTGAGTTTCTACCTTGTGGCTACTATGAATAGTGCTGCTACAGACATTTGTGTACAAGTGTACAAGTGTTTTGTGGACATGTTTTCAGCTCTCTTGTGTTTCTACCTGAAAGTAGATTTATGGAGTCCCATGGTAACTGTATGTTTAACTTTTGGAGGAACTACCAGATTGTTTGCCAAAGTGGCTGTACTAATTTACATTCCTATTAGCCATAGATGAGGGGTCCAATTTCTCCACATCCTTGCCGATACTTGCTATTTTCCTTTTTTTCAATTATAGCCATCCTAGAGGCCATGAAGTGACGCCTCATTGTGGTTTTCATATGCATTTCCCTAATGACTAATGATATTGGCCATCTTTTCAAGTGCTTATTTTCCATTTAAATTTCTGCTTTATTTTTAAAAATGTATGTGTGTGTATATATATCTATATCTGTATATCCATATTTTTTTAGAGAGAGTGCACATGCGCGCAAGTAGGGAAGAGAGCAGAGGGAGAGAGAGAGAATCCCAAGCAGGCTTCATGCTCAGCGCTGAGCCCAACATGAGGCTCAATCCCACAACTCAGAAATCATGACCTGAGCTGAAATCAAGAGTCAGCCGCTCAACTGAGCCACCCGGACACCCCTGAATCTCTGCTTTCTTAACATTCTTTTGGATTATTTCATTTTTCCTCCTGTACCAGCTTGAAAATTAAATTCTCTTTTTATATCGTTTTAGTGATCGCCCCACAAGTTCCCACATGTATTCCTAAGTGTGCTGTTAATCAATACTTTTATGGCACAGTTTGCTGAGATGGAGGGGAAAAAACACCCTAGCCAGAGGAACAGAGAGAAAAAAGATAAAGGACCAAGAAAGAGCTCAGTATATCTAGAGGTACAAACTGGGATTTCATCCTAGAAGTGACAAGGGAGACAGAGAAAGTTGAACAATGAGGAATGAAATATACAATGAAGATTTAATTACTATTTGATGCAGAATGAGCCTATAGCAAGATGAGTGGGCCTGGGATGGGTATTTTAAGTCATCCAAGGAGGATGTCTCTGCCGTGAAAGAGATCTCTAGGAAGAACAAGACCATGGAGACTTTCCTGAGGCTGCCCAGGAGGCAGGGGCAGAGTTTGGCCTGAAACTGGATGTCTTTAGCACTGCGTCCTTCCTTGCCTCTTTACCTACCCCTAGCCATGTTTACTCTGCCTCTACCCCTACAACAGCTGTCTTTCTTCAGAGCCTTTTCTTACAGTTCCTAAATCTCTTCCTGATAAATCTAAAGTATGTCCATCCTTTAAAATCCAATTCAATTAAATTAACCCAATAAATATTTTCTGGGCTTCTGCTGTGTCTGTCTCTGGCCTAAGATGAGAGATTTAGAAATAAATGGAACAGGTGAGGGTTCCATCCTTAAATGAGCTTCCAGGAAGGTGAGGGAAACAGACACTTAACAGTAATTTCACTACATTGTGGTCAGTCCTAATAAAGGTGTGATGGGCTTCTAATGCTTCCTGTGGAGTGGGGAGGTGGGCAAATCATAGCACGTAGGGAAAGATGAGGAGGAAGTTGAGCAAAGCTCATGGAACAAGTGAGCGTAGCTATAATGTAAAATATGTATTTGCTAGAGTAGAGGATGGCCAGATAACAAAGGATGATGAATACCACACTAAGGAATTTGCTCTTGATCCTAAAAGCCGTACGGAGTTGCTAAACAGTTTGCAGCAAGAGAGGCACATGATCAGATCTGTGTGTGTGTGTGTGCGTGCGTGTTTAATGTTTATTTATTTTGAGAGAGAGAGAGAGAGAGAGAAAGCATCAGCTGGGGAGGGTCAGAGAGAGGAGGAGAGAGAGAGAATCCCAAGTAGGCTCCGTGCTGTCAGCACAGAGCCCAATGCAGGGCTCCATCTCACGAACCTTGAGATCATGACCTGAGCCAAAATTAAGAGTCAGACACTTAACCAACTGAGTGACCCAGGTGCCCCCAAGTCTGTGTTTTAAGAAGAGCCAATGTGGCTGTAAATGGGGAGGGTGATAAAGAGATAGAAGGGCAAGGAGGCCAGTGAAGGAGAGCCACAGGAAGCTTTCCTTAACAACTGCATCCCACATTCACTTTTCATCTGCTTCTCACCTCTGTACTGCCCACCTCTGTACTGAAGCATCCCTGTAAATAAATGCTCAGTCAGCTTGGGGTATCTAGTATGTGTATGTGGACAGGGGGAGTGGAGCAGTGATTGTGGCCAAAGCTGGACAATAGTGGTGCTGTTTCAGGCACAGGTCTCTCTGACATATGTCCAGACACCAGGCAAACCAACCAGGAGGACAGGAGACACTGGAAGCCTTCAACGGCAGCAGCAGCAACTACTTGGATGATGGACAAATGTCGATTCAGCAAACATGAACTGCCCACTGAATCGAAGGCGAGACAAGAAGCCTAGATGCTTGTTCAACTTCTTATACCTGTAAAATATATTCCACCAAACTTATCTTACCAGATTATTAAGAGGATCAAATAAGAAAGTGTACATAAAGTTCTTGGCATCTTTAGTAAGAACTCATTCTTCTACTTTTCCTCATATAAATCAAGGTGATAGGCTTTTGAACTGACAGAGGAAGAAATAGATTCAGAGAGGGTCAGTGATGGCTGAGGTCACACAGTTCAGAAAAGGCTCGGTCAGGACAAGTTCAGACTGTAGCCTCCACATCTAATCACAATAGCCATGGTATATTGAGTATCTTCTGCATGCCTGGCACACTGCTGTTTTACCTCGTTTAATCGCAAGGGCAACCCTGTGCTGTGCCTAAAACCATTTTACAGATGAGGAGACTCAGTAGATTCAGGACTATATGGTGAATTGCCCAAATCGCCGAAGAATTAAAGGCAAGATTAATGCACCTCCACCTCAAGTTTCAGGCATTGGGAATAGTCTAGAGGCAGAGAGAAGGGACCCAGCTTCAGGGAATGGTATTTAGGGCCAAAGGAACAGATAAGGGGTCAAGACAGGGAATAAAAGCCAGGAGCAAGCACTTGTGTGCTGGAGGTTGACAAAGAAAATGACACGAAGCCCTGAGGTAGAAAACCTACATCTAGTTATTGAAACTAAAAGGAGGTGGTTCTTTTAGTACAGTTTTACTAATTGTTCATTTGCTGGGACTTTTTATTTTTTATTTTTTTTAATGTTTTTATTTATTTCTAGGAGAGAGAGAGACAGCATGATCAGGGGAGGGTCAGAGAGAGAGGGAGTCACAGACTGAAACAGGCTCCGAGCTGGCAGTCAGCACAGAGCCCGACGCGGGGCTCGAACCCACGAACCGCGAGATCATGACCTAAGCGAAAATCGGACGCTTAACCGACTAAGCCACCCAGGAGCCCCTAATTTGCTGGGACTTTAAAGGCCAGGGTGGAGGGGAGTTTAAAGTCACTAGAATAAGACACTGGACTATTAGGACTAATAGGACTCCCTCCAGACTTGGAGCCCCAGGAGTGAGTTATCTCCAGGTCTGCCACAGAGAGGGCTAGGCTGAGTGAATGAAAAAGAATGAATGCATGAAAAAGATCTCTGATAAGTTAATCAGATTTAAGCCTCTGTATCCACCTGCAAAGTGGTGATTATTAGCTACCTTGTGGGATTAATATTATGCAGTTGACTCTTGAACAATGCGCGAGTTAGGGGTGTTGATCCCCCCCACAGTAAAAAATCCATGTATAACTTTTGACTCCTCCCACCACAACTACAGATGATTTACTGTTGACTGGAAGCCTTACCGATAATAAACTATCAGTTAACAAATATTTTGTATACGTTTCATGTATTGTATTCTTACAATAAAGTAAGCTAGAGAAAAGAAAATGTTATTAAGAAAATCATAAGAGGGGGCATTTGGTTGGCTCAGTAGAGCATGTGACTCTTGATCTTGGGGTGTGAGTTTGAGCCCCATGTTGGATGTGGAGCCTACTTTAAAAAATAGATTTTTTTTCTTAAAGAAAACCATGAGGAAGAGAATATACATTTACAGTACTGTGCTATATTAAAAAATCCACGTATCAGTGGATGTGTGGTGTTCAAACCCGGGTTCCAGGGTCAACTATATAGGGAGGAATTAAGGGAATAGCCTCAGGTGCCGGACTCCAAACCTGGTTCTGACATGTATAGCTGTGTGAATAGGTAACATATCTTTTCTAAAACAGGGATATTAATAGTAACCACCTCATGGGGTTTTTATGAGGATCAAATGGGATAATGCATAAAAAATAGAAAAGCGCCTGGAAGACAGGGGGTGCTCAAATTGTGCTGATTATTACTAGGGGGATATATGAATAGGAAAACTGTGATGGTAACTACCTCTAGCTCAGAGGTCTTCACCCCCTGCAGGTGCTCTGACAAACCCAAGAGTTTTCCTCGGTTTCCTTTACGGGTCAGTCTGGGTGGGGAGGGAACCCTGTAGGCTGGTTTCTGCGGATCAACCCTCTCATGGTGGAGAGAGAGAGACCCAGGACTGGGGAAAGGAGAGCCTTGCTGTTACGTCGGGCAGGACAGGGCGCCCTCTCCTGATCAAAGCCGGGAACAGCTCTGGCCCCGAGATTTTGGGGTGGGCCTCCCTGATCTCTCTACCTATTAAGGTGCTCTTTCCTTTGTTGGATGCCCGGAATCGGCTATGGGGAGCAAAGTTAGGGGGAGGGGCGCTGAGGCTGGGGCAAAACTGTTTTAATGTTTCAGAAGGGCGAGGCTGGATAATTCGGCTAGAATGGGGACGTGGGCAGGAGACACTAAGATTAAAATTTGAAGAATTCGGGGCCCTGTTGAATCAATTTTATGTTCTTTCAACAGGTGATGGAACGCAGCTGAGAGGTAAGGTGACAAGGTGGCTTATCCAGCGTGTCAAACCCATGGGTCCAGGGCTCTTCCGGCTGCCCCCACGCAACAGGAATTAGTGAGGCAGACTAGAGCTAGAGAGGCATAGCACAAGGGGACGCCGGATCAAGGGGGAGAGCCCAGGGTCCAGGTCCGCAGAAGTGGGGAGGGGCCAACGGAGGATCTCGGCGCAGTTTCCTCCCCAAGCGCGCTGGCCCCGCCCCTGCCGTTCCCGCTCCGGTCCGCACCCCGCCGCTTGCCCCAGGCCGGGCCTGGGCTCCCCTCGGGTTCCCCCAGCGCCCGGCCTGCGCTGGCGCGGCGTCCTTGCCGCCACAGCCTGGGTGAGTATGGGGATGGATGTGCCGGACTGCGGGGCAACCTCACTTGGGGGAGCTCTGCCACGAGGTCCAGCCTCCTCACCGCCCAGCCCCAAGCTCTGAAGGTGCTGGTGCTTGCCCAGGATCTGCTGCTGTCCCGACTTCTGAACTAACCCTTTATCCCCTCTGCTCCCCACATGGTGCTGGATGTGCACTGTTTGAGCTCTCCTTCATTCCACAGGGCCTGCTGATGGGGATTTCTCTTAAAGTGCCAGGTATAGAGGTGTTGGGGGGCTCTGGAACCCAATAGAATAATTTCAAGTTCTACCTCTGCCAGTTACTAGCCTGTGACCTTGGGCAAGTGTTTTCAGCCTCCTTGAGCCTCAGTTTCCTGTTCTGAAAAATGGAAATACACAGGCTATATAGGGCCTGCCTCATAGAATTATAGTGAAGGTTAAAAGAAACAATGTATATGGAGTATGAAGCAGGCTGCCTCCTACTCAGAAGGTACCCAGTAAGTATGGATTCTGGCTGGAAGCTGAGGAGATTTCTGGGACCTTTGGAGATAACGTAGGGGTACTCCTATGAAAGTGGTTTCCAGCTAAGTAGTCCCTATGAAAAAGTTTGAGCTGACTGGGACTGAAGAGCTGTCCTTTAGGTAGTGAGCTCTCTGTCCTGAGACCTGGAGAAGTAAAATGACCATGTTGGATTATTAGTAATCTAAACCACATGATTTTTACCTTACACAACTGTGGATAAAGGCCCGGAGTGGTTAGATGACTTGCCCAAGGTCACACAGCTAAAAGAGAAGCCAGGCATACCTCTGAGCAGTGGAACAGATTATTCCTCCAACCTCTTTACCCACTCCCTGCCTCGGGCAGTGCCTATTCATTCCCTGGGGATCTGGTCTTCAGTTTGGGCATCACATTGGTTCCTGAGGGTTCTAGAGCCACTGGCTTCAGAGAGGAGACTAGTGCTGCTTCAAGCACAGAATCAGGTTTTGGGCTGGGTGGGAAAGTTGTTCCCTTTCTAAGGTCTCTAGGGACTTATAGTCCATTTGAGGATGATCCAAGAAATGTGTTAGATTTGGGAGGGGCCCCAGCTCCAATTCCAATTCCGCTGGAAGATCCCTGGCCCCCGAAGGCAGAAAAGAGATTGGGTAACTGGAGCAGGCTGACTAATTGCGCCTGGCAGAGAGGTGGGTGGGGGAAGATGGAGGAGAACACAGAGGCGTATTCACCTGGTTCTGGAATGCTAGGAGGTTAGCTTCAGGTTCTTCCTGAGGGCGGGGCCACAAACAGTTGGGACTTGATCTGGCAAGACCTTTGAGTCCAGAAGGGCGGGCTCTTTTTTGAATCTGGAGCCAGCCCTAGTTTGGCCACAAGAAGCCTAAGATCCAAAGATGGCTTTCCCTTAGGCTCAGCATCTGGCTTTAGAGGAAGGGCCTTTCTCTCTCTGCATCTTAGTTTCTCTGTTTTTGCAGTGGGGACACTGCAGTGAGGCTCACTGACTCATCTATATAGGTTTGATTTACCTTTCTGTCTCTTATGGACAGGTGCCCCTTCTCTCTCCCCTCCTAAACTGACCTAACTTTACCTTTCTGCCCAGAGCTCTGTCCCAGAGAGGAAGGAGTCAAAGAAGGCTGGAGCTGCAGTTTGGAACTCTGTGGGCTCCACATCTCCCCACTGCTGGCTCTTCCTTCTAGTTGTTGTGCAACCCTCTTAGCCTTAATTTCCCCTCTGTATACTGAGGGAGGCTGGGCTAGGATTCCTGGTGTATACTTGGTCATTATAGCTCTTGACTGTACGATCCTAATCTGAGCAGGGAGTCACAGTCCTCAGGAGCCTTTACTTTGTCTCTGGAGGGGGATGGACAGGCCCCACGGGTACTGGGAAGCCTCCAGAAGCTGACCTGGCAGCTCTTTCCAGCAAACAGCAGGCCCAGGCTAGCACCAGACCTGATTCTGCAAAGCCTTTCACCCTCAGAGCACATGAGGCAGTGGGCGGGGATGCGCAGGGGGTCAGGGTTCTACTGGCTTCCATGGAGCCCTTGCTGCTCTGCACTGTGGTGCAGGCTACACAGTATGTGGCTGTGGGGCAGGGAAGGGACTGAAGGTACAGAAGGCCCTGGACCAGTGGGTAAAGCAGGGAGAGCTGATGGGAGACCCTGAAGCCTAGAGGCTCAAAAGCCTGTGAGAGGAGATGGGCCATTCTATCCACTGAGAGGTTTTAGGATTGGTTCCTGAAACAAGAGAGACCAGTTAAACCAGCTCCTGTTGTTCTAGACCTGTAAAGCCAGGTATAGGGGGGAAGAAGCTCTCCCAATCTATTCGACCTTTGTTTCAGCACAGATTTGGTTCATTGTCTTTCCTCTGAAATTGAGGGTGAATGTTCTCTTGGGATTCTGAGTCAGTCTTCCCCAGCCAGGGCAGGAGCTGTCCAAGTTTAGGGGCAAGATAGCTTTCTTCTCAGACCCTCCAAGCCATGGCACAGCTAAGCTGAGGACTCAGCATAAGGACTGGCTTTACCACAGAGTCCCAGCCTTGCTGCCTTGGGCCTTGACAGCATACTACTCCATCCCCAGGTCTGACAAGATGTATCAGGTCCCACTGCCACTGGATCGGGATGGGACCCTGGTCCGGCTCCGCTTCACCCTGGTGGCCCTGGTCACGGTCTGCTGTCCACTTGTCGCCTTCCTCTTCTGCATCCTCTGGTCCCTGCTCTTCCACTTCAAGGAGACTACGGCCACACACTGTGGGGTAGGGCTTGTGAAGGGGGGTGGGGAACATCTCATATTCAGGTCCAATTGGATCAAATTTTGGATCCTGATTCTATGTTAACAGGATTAGTGAGCTCTCCAATGGGGTCCATCAGACAAACTGGGCTGCTGGGTACCTGCAAATTGAGGTCTTAGGAGTTAGCTTTCTGCCACTTTCCATGGAGGTCACTAGGGCCTAGAGTCACTGAAGTTGGGCAGCCCCAGAATTCAGTCCTTATTTCATAGAGGGGCAGATTCAGGTGCCCCAGGGTTTCGTGGGGGACGGAGAGAAAACTGGACTGGGCTAGAGGATGCTGGGGCCTCTTAGTGTGGCACTGTGAGCTGTGCCTATCTCTGTGGGGATGTGATTATGTATGCATGCCTGTGACTGTAAGGGACATGACTGTATGTGCGTGGGAGACCATATCTGTGTGTGTCTGGATGGGAACCTGATGATGTGTGTGTATATGTGTTCCATATGTGTATATGGACTATGTTCCTCAGGTAGCCAGTGCCCTCTGAGCAGGGATATAGTGTGCTGGGCCAGGAGGAAAGATGTGAGTTTTCTCTGCAGCGTATTGGGGTAAAGAGGGTGAGACTTGTGCTGACCTCTGTTACACTCCTGATTCATCCACTGACTCTCACTTACCTGAGACACAGACTGAGTCTCAGCTTCCCATGTCTAAAATGGGGCTGGAATTCTCATCTTCCTTCTGAGGAGTAGTGTAGAGCTCCAGAGAGAGGAAGGATAGGAAGGTGGTTTGGGAAATGTGAAGGGTGAGCAGCAGAGGAGGAGGAAAAGGAGATTGTAAGGTTGGAAGGCTGGGCAGGAGAGGAAGAGCTCAGGGGCTCTAGGTGGAAAGGAGGCAGGGCCTGGACACGGACCCTTGGAATAGTGTCAGAGAGAGCTCTGAAAGCCCCCAGTCAGCTCAGCTTCCTGCCTCCCTGTAAAGAGCATTTGCTCCAGAAATAGGACTATGGCTAGGAGTGGGCTCTGGCTGGCAGTATCGAGTGGGGCCTACTTCTTTTGTTCTTATGACTGGAAGTTTTCTCTCTCCTTGATTTGTCGATGGGTGGTAGGCAGCCAGTCTGATGAGACCCAGGACTGGGAGCTGTCAGAAAGAACAGGACTGGACGAAAAGGAGGTTGACCAGGTGATCTTGAGGGTGAGGAACAAAAAGGATCAAACCAATGGCCTTTCCTGACTTAGTTTTCACCTTAGACAATACATCAAAAGTTTCTCTCACCCTGGTCAACTCCTTTGTATCTTGCAAAACCGTTCTCAGTGTCTCCTCTTTTGAAAAGCCTTCCCTAGCCTCCTTGGTGCAGACTTAATCACTCTTCCCACTGGGTGCCCACAGTTCCCTGTTTTATCTTTCATACAGTTCTATCACATTACATTTGTATTTTTGTTCCCCACCAGACCTGGAGCTCCTTTAAGGTGGGTACTACATCTGAATCAGAAAGAATTTGTTGAATAAATTTATAAGACCCCCACCAGCCCAGTGCTCTTTGAAAAGGAAGGCCTGGCACCACGTACTCTTAGTCCATGCCGATAATTATAATATTTGTAAGGCATATGGAGTTAAATGTAATAGGCTGTTTGCTTTGCCCCTCATGGCTGGCTCCTGAGGGCTAATGAGATCAGTAAGGCAGCATATGTGGCATAGCTATAACCCATTCCTGTAGGGTTATAGATATTCTTGTAGGCATACTAGTAGGGAGCTAAGGCATAGGTAGTTGCAGGAGGGGTACCTGGCCACTCTGGGGCTGGACTGAGCTTAGTGACCCAGGTGGTATTTTGTCCCCACTCTCTGGGACTACCATGTTGGAGCCACCTTGGGGCACCCCAGGTGGATGTATGCTCTGGGCTTACATTTCTCACCTGGAGTATTCTAGGAATGACCAAGCCTAGGAGTAAAATAAGTAACATTACTCTAACAGATCTATAATTACATGACTCAGTTTGCTTGCGTATCTCCAGTGATGGGGAGCTTGCTTCCTCTCCAGGCGGCCTATTCTAAGGAGGCTTGGTAACTAACAATTAGCAAGCTCTTTCTTGTAGTGAACATAACATTCTTTTTCTGGTGAATCTCTGCCTTTGCACTGGCTCTGCTTTGGGAGCCTGAGATCTACTCTCTCTCCTCCTGGCATCAAGGCAGCCCTGCAAAGATAGGACAGCAATAATGGGGGCAGAGGTCCCCAAATTTATTCTTATTGGGTAGCATATTTCCAGTTCTTTCAGGCAACCCTCACAGGACATGCCCCCCTAGACTTGGCCCAGTCAGTCACTATTCTCTCCATAAGAGGCCCTGATCTGGGCATAGGACTTCATATGGCCTAGACAGTACAGGGAAAAGTATTTCTGTTGCATTCCTATTACTGGCTGTTAGACCCCTGTTAAGGCATCTTGAGCTGAGTTAACTGTTGCTGGATACTTATACTTCATATTCAGGCCCGTCCAGATCTGTTTTAGATCTTGAATGTATGTTGCCCTAAGATTAACTAGCTCTCCAATGAGGCCCAACAGACATACTCCTGCTTCAACAAAAAGGGGTGAAATCCTATTCTGCTTTCTCCCTTTTCCTTCCCAGAAACCTGCCTATATCCCAGGATATAACTCTCAAAAAGGTCCCCACCCCCATCCCTGGCACGGAAGCTGTTGTGGGCTGACTTTAGCCACGATCACCCTTACCTTTGCAGAGTGTTCCAGGGTTTATGACATGGCCTTATTGGTCCTTGGAGGGCTGTGTGCTTGGGCAGGCGTGGAGATCTGAGCTCTGTGGGCGGGAGGGCGGGCCCTGGAGAGCTAGGGGTGGGACCCTCCAGTCTAAAAATAGTTTCAGTCTGGCTAGAGCCCTCAACCCAAGCCCCAGATCCTTCAGCACCCAGCGTAAGTGTTGCTCAGTTTGTGCTCCCTCCCCCATTTCCCTGATGTGGAGCTGGACTAGTGAACTAGAGCTCCGTTAATGGTGGGAGGTATGAGTCCCAAGGGAGGTTTGATCCTAGGCCTTAGAATACAAAGCTACTACTGTCTGCTCCCCAGAAGGGAACCCATCTCACAAGTCATGGTGGTTGGGGCAGTGGGGGATGGGAGAAGGGACTTCTCTCCCTAGAGGGAGAAGAGAGTGGAAGAAGCTAGCTCCCTTGGTCTCTGCTGGGTCTGGCTCAGCACAACAGCCTCAAGCTGAGGGGAGAAGGTTCCTGTGACCCTCAGATTCCCATAAACTTTTGATTGGGTGACATGGTCTTCTTAGAGAGGAAGGAGAAGCCTCTGCAGGGATCCTGGTATCTTGAGATGATGGTACTGTTGGCCTGAGGCTTGGATCATTCTGAGCCTGGGGGTGGGCTGGCTGGCAGCTTGTGGCCACATTGAAATAGGTTCTGGGCACTCCCACTGTTCCTAGTTGAACTTGGATGAAGAGGAGGAATGTGGTCAGACAGGGCCAGTGGGAGGGCTTGGACTGTCTGAGCCAAGGGTCCTTTGTCTAGGTTATATGACCTGAAGAAAGACTTGACTTGGGAGCTTTAAGCTATCAAGTGGCTAAGACCTTAATCCTAACGTTTTATGGAACAGGAATAATCTTTCTACCTCTGATCCTTCTGAGTGGGTGTGAGAGTCTTGAGATTGAGGTGGCCATCAGACTCCAATGTCCAGGCCACTGAGAGCCTCTATTCTCCAGACTCTTTAAGAGGTAGACCTACAGGACCATTGTGCCAGAGGGATTCCTAAGAGAATCTGCCTGACTCAGCTGCTTCTGCCCCATCTCTCTCTGCACCTCCTTACCTTCTGCACTGCTTTCCATTTCCCTTTATGCTCTTTCTACGTGCTTTTCCCTATATCCAGAGGAGCCAGCTCTGGAAAAGGCTCCACTTCCCAAGGCTCAGGTGTCCCAGCAGGTCCCAAGTCATGTCCCTCACCCTGCCTGGGCACCACTTCCTACAGGATGTTCTCTGCAGTCTCCCAGCCTTTGGACCCAGATGGGATTGTGTTCCGGCTCCGCTTCACGGCCATGATCTGGTGGGTCATCACTTTCCCCATGTTCGGCTTCTTCTTCTGCATCATCTGGTCCCTGGTGTTCCACTTTGAGTACACGGTGGCCACTGACTGTGGGGTGAGTGCCAGGCTCCCCCGCACCTGGGTCAGGGCCAAGTCAAGAGACGGTGGTAAGAGCGGAATCAAATAGTAAGAGAGAAGGCAGAGAGTCAGAGAAAGGGGAAAGGGATAAAGGCATGATGGGGGGCAAGTTAGAGTTGGGGGAATTTGTGGATAGAGATTCAGGGAGAGTGGAGTCACAGTCCTCTGAGAGTAGATTACAGAATGCCAGGGAGCAGAGGGGAGAGGGGAAAGGAAGGGAGGGGAATAGGCAAGAGAAGTCATGAGAGGGAGGAGGAAGCTGAAGAAAGACCAGACTGGAAAGGAAGCCAGGACTGGGGAGTTAGACTGGGCCAGAAGCCAAGAGAAGTCATAAGTGGCTTTAACCCAGACTGGAGGCCTGGCCTTATGGGACCCCCCAGCCCTGCCCTGGAATCTTCAGGGTTGGTTTCTCCCTTGGCAGCCTCAGGCCCCCTAACCTGTGTCCACTCCAGGCTCTGCCAGCTAGAAACTGAGATGGACTTCCTGCCTCCAAGAGCAGTTCACCAGGCCTTTCCTGAGGGCCCAGGGGTAGAGGTTCTGTGTTAGAAGCATGGAATTGAATATGGACTTGCCCTTAGCCTCTCATCCTACAAGACACAGTCCTAGACACAGATGGTCACAGCACAGTGGGATGGGAATCCTATTGTGATAAAGGGAACATAGGGAATAAAGGGGAGCATAGGGATCACAGGGCCAGAAGAAGCACTTAATCCAGCCTAGGTGTTGGGGAAGACTTCTTTTCTGGAGCAGGGGGCATTTCTGCTATGGGGGTAAAAAAGGATCTTTGTGAATGCCAGGCTGACAACTTTTGATTTTATCCAGAGGGCAGTGGTGAGCTTTGGAAAGATTTTAAGCAGGAAAGGGACACAATCAGACTTATGCTTTAGAAGATCATTCTACCTCCTGAGTGGAGAACAGATTTTAGGGCAGTGGGCAAGAGTAGGGAGATCAGTGAGGAGGCTACTACAATAGATCATGCTACTGGGGAGACCAGAGCTAAGATAGGGACTATGAGGATAGAGAGGTAGGGATGGAGTCCAGAGAAGCGTAGCAGGTTGAATTGATAGGAATGGGAAGTTTTGTTCAATTGGCAAGGGATAGAGGCAGTAGATAGCAAAGTAATCCATAAGTTCAGGGGACTTTTATCAAAAGAATGAATCTCTTTTAAAAAAAAATTTTTTTTTACATTTATTTATTTGTGAGAGACAGAGTGAGATAGAGTGCAAGTGAGGGAGAGGCAGAGAGAGGAGGAGACACAGAATTGGAAGCAGGGTCCAGGCTCTGAGCTGTCAGCACAGAGCCCAATGCGGGGCTCGAACCCACGAATCATGAGATCATAACCTGAGCCGAAGTTGGACACTTAACCAACTGAGCCACCCAGGCATCCCCAAAAGAATGAATCTCAACTGGTGAAATTTGAAGTGCTATGCTAGGGAATTTTCTGGACCTTCACCCTTTATACCATGTGAATTTCTGATCTACTGCCTTGCCACAGATCTAGGATGTAGAGGGTTTCTGTTCTTTTTAAACTTTCTTTTTTTAATGTTTGTTTATTTTTGAGAGAGAGAAACTGAGTGCAAGAAGGAGAGAAGCAGAGAGAGAGGGAGATACATAATCTGAAACAGGCTCCAGACTCTGAGCTGTCAACACAGAGCCCAACACGGAGCTCAAACCCATGAACCGTGAGATCATGACCTGAGCCAAAGTCTGATGCTTAACTGACTGAGCCACCCAGGCACCCTGGAGGGTTTCTGTTCTTGAGGAAAGAGGTTATGTTCCCATTTCAGTACCCTTAGCTCTGAGCTCATGGGGAGATTTGGGGTGAGTTGGACACCTGGTCTCTGATAGCTCCTGATGTTACTGGCTAGTTGGTGAGTGGAGAACTTGTGTGCTTGGAATAGGGGAACATAAATGAATTGAATACCTGTACCTGATTATGCATGTGTGTGCATGTGTGTTTGTGTGGGGTGGGAATAAGAGGAAATCCCTGCTCTCAGCATCCTACCTCCACCCCTAATCTTAGAGGAGCTTATGAGGAAGACACCAGTATCCACAGGGCCCTAAATCTCCCTTCCTTCTGTGGTGTCCTCCCAGATCTTTGCCATCTCTAACCTTTACCTATTTCCCAGCATCAGTTAGGGCTCTGGACTCTGCCAGCCAAGCTTTAGAAAGCTCATATTGTGGGAAACAAACAAACAAACAGCTCATGCTGGTCCTGCTCCCCTTAAAATAGCTGGGATTGGGCCAGGAGTTTTCAAAATGAATATTCTAGGAAATAGAGGCAACACTCCCACTAACCTTACTTAGGGGACCTACTCAGAGGGGCAGAGAAGTAAGGAGGCTTGGAGGGCTCGGAAGTCTCTGATGAAGATACAGTTCTTGCCTATCGCTCCTGTGTGGGCTTCCCATGTTCAATAACAACATAGCTTACCAGCTATTCATAGGCTTTTCAGGGAAGTTTGTCTTCTGAAAGCAATCACTTGTACCCACTGTGTGCTAAACACTGCAGATGCTCTGCATACATCCTATTTAATATTCACAATCATCCTGCAAAGTAGGTGGTAGTATCCCTATTTTGCCAGTGAGGAAATTGAAACTCAGAGAGATGAAGTGACCTACCTACTCAAGGTCACTCAGCTAATAAAGGCAGAGATGGGATGCAGACCCAGGTTTGTGTGGCTCTAAAGCTTCCATGCTGCTGCTTTACTGATTATTCAGAATGAGTACCTGAGCCTGGTCTCAAGCCATGGTATTTCAAGCCATGCCATTGAGAGTGGCACCCTCTCAGAGAGCTCTGCATTTAGCTTCCTTTGGTAGTGCTGAGGGAAGTCTATGTCCTTTTCTGTGAAGGCTGCGAAGCCCCTGGCTGGCATTCTCCCAGGCCCACCCCTGCCTTGTGAGCTGCCTCCATCATTGCATACATTTCCAGAATTGATGGGGGCCCATCAGCGTCACCATTAGGAGAAAGGAGGGGATCTTCTAGAACTCCATCTCTGAAGACTGGTCCTGCTATAGTCACAGCAGGGTCATTCCTTCTCTGGGTCCTTGGGCTCTGGCACTGCTCTTGTCCTTGCTGAGTCTAAAAAAGTCCGCAGAAAACGAGTGCCATGGACCAATCCTTTAGAAATGCAGATTTTCAGATTCCAGACCCCCTACATCCATGCACAATCCCTGGTTAGTTGTATGCATGTTTAAGGTAGAAGCACTGCTCCAGGCCCTGGAGTCTGAGAGATCCTCCTCTTCTCCCTGCCTTTTGTGTCCCCATCTAGACTGTTCTTCCCTCATCCTCTCACTCTCTCACATGAGCAACACACTGATCCTCCTCGCAGCTGTGTGTGTTACCTCCTCCTTCCTCAACTGTGAAGAATAGTGCTACAGTTCCTTAAGGAATGAGGAATTCCAGGCCTTGAGAAAGATGGGAGGGATGCACAAGAATAGGCTCATTTCCTTAGACTACCCCAGGTTAGGAGCACCCACTTTCTTAAGCATGATCAGGGTGGGGGTACCCTCCTGATGCAGCGCCCCAGGACCTCACAGTACCCTCTACCACCTTGGCACACTTGCCCAGAAGAGTAAGTAGAACTGAGAACAGTCAAGAACAGCTCAGTTGGGCAGTGAATCCAGCACTGTCCCAAGGAAGCTCAGGTGGTCTGTGACTCATCCCTGTCCTCAGGACTGAATCTGGGGTCCTGGGCCATGGAATCTCCCACAGCTCTGTGCTATGGGCTCAGAGAAAGTCTGAACCCGTCTACAGCTTCCCCAGCCGTATGTAGGTTCATGTGTAGGAAGATGGAAAAGTCCTATCAAGCCCCTGCACAAACCCCAGGCTGCCTGTGGAATGAGAACAAGCACACTGGGGGCCAGGACCTGGAAGGGTATGTCTCCCAGGAGAGCTCTGGGAGTGCCTGAAGGAGGACTTCTGGGAAAGGAAGGGGCTGGAATGGAGCCTTCTGAGCGCCCAGGGTGATTTTGATAGATGGAGAGAAGGATCTCCAGGTGGGTGGGTGGGGCTGGTGGAGACCTGCCACCACACTGGTCACAACTCTCTAGGTGCCCAATTACCTGCCTTCGGTGAGCTCAGCCATCGGTGGGGAGGTGCCCCAGCGCTACGTGTGGCGCTTCTGCATCGGCCTGCACTCAGCGCCCCGCTTCTTGGTGGCCTTCGCCTACTGGAACCACTACCTCAGCTGCGCGTCCCCGTGTCCTGGCTACCGCCCACTTTGCCGCCTCAACTTTGGCCTCAACGTCGTCGAGAACGTCGCGCTGCTAGTGCTCACCTACGTCTCCTCTTCTGAGGACTTCAGTGGGTGCCCACATGAGGGAAGGAGGAGCAGGGGAAGGGTTGGGAAGGGTCGCCCCTGCGCCCTCCCTCACTTAGACCTTCGGGGGGAGGGACTTGGATGCTCCCTGTAGAGCCCGCTCCCAACCTTCCTCTCTCCCTCCAGCCATCCACGAAAATGCTTTCATTGTGTTCATCGCCTCTTCCCTCAGTCACATGCTCCTCACCTGCATTCTCTGGCGGCTGACCAAGAAGCACACAGTAAGTCAGGAGGTACGGTCTACCCCTAGTGGGGCTCCAAGCAGCCCAGAGGAAAATCAAGGACACCAGTCCTCAGGATGCGGGTAATGGTAGGTAGGAACCGGAGTTCTAAAGGGAACCTGGGTGAGGCTAAGACTTGGGGAGGAGTGGGGAGGGTGATGGATTGGTCAGAATGTAGGACTGTGTTTGAGTAGTATGGGAGACTGGAAGATAGAAGAGATGGAGGCTCCAAATGGGAATAGAATGAGGGACAGCACCCAGGCTACAGTGGGCAAGGAACTGTGTCAGGGGCGCATGGTCTGTAATAACGCCAGTGCCCTGCCCCCGCCCTGGCCCCCTGCCCCCAGACACCTTTCGTCTCCCCACAGTATGTGGACTTGTTGGGTTGAGGGGTGACTCCAAATAATTTCAATATTCCATCCTGCTGAAGTGGGAGGGGCAGGGACAGCACTGCTCCTTGGCTTCATTATACTCCCAAATGCAGGGAGATGAACATGCCCATCATTCCTGCTGCCCTTGCCTGTGCCCCCTTCCATAACCAAGGGAGGTAAGACAGTCCTTAGGAGTTGGGGCTAAGAGGGGACGCTGCCCACACATATCCAATAGACTGCAGAGTGATCAGACAGCCCATCCTCTAGGACCGCAAGTCCTACAACTGGAAACAGCGGCTTTTCATCATCAACTTCATCTCCTTCTTCACGGCACTGGCTGTCTACTTTCGGCACAACATGTATTGTGAGGCTGGAGGTGAGGCTGGGCTGGGATCCGAATGTGGTCACAGTGGCTATGGGACAGTTGTGATGTTTTCTATAATGTGTGAGATAGCAGTGGCCTTGGGGGCTGACTGCCATTGTGTCTCCTGTGTAGAGATGTGGTGGTGGCGATTTATCAAGAGGCCCCTGGGGTGTAGGGGCAGGAGTCTCACCGTGTCCTATTCTTGTGTCCTCACAACAGTGTACACCATCTTTGCCATCCTGGAGTACACTGTTGTCCTAACCAACATGGCGTTCCACATGACAGCCTGGTGGGACTTCGGGAACAAGGAGCTGCTCATTACCTCTCAGCCTGAGGAAAAGCGATTCTAAACCCTTTCTCTCCTGCTAAGAAGGAGGAGGCAGTCCACTGCCCAGAAACTAGAAACAAGACACCACTCTGGCCTTCCCCACTCTGTGTCCTCTGTGGGTCCTGCAGAAGCTGGGGGGGAGTGGGGAGGAAGGGTGGAAGGGCACAGGACAGGGTTTTAGGTAGCCCTGCTGGCTTCTCCTTTCCCTCACCCCACTTGAGGGCAAAGGGACCTTCAAGCAGCATCACCCTTATCTGAGAGGCCCCATCTGGTGCTAAAAAAAGTCCTGAGGTTCATAACCACCATTGGTTCTTGGCCTTTACATAGCCACCTCTTGCTGAGGTCAGGGACCACTGAGCAGTGGCTGCTACCCGAAAACCACAGCCATTTCTCTCCACGGAGTCATTCACTTGACTGGTGTATGTAATTATCTCCTGGCCACAGTCCCTTGCTAAGTTTGCCCAGGTGTTCTAGCCTTTTCACCTCCCGTTTGGTGTGTACCCCTTTCCTATCTAAGCCTTAGTGTGCCCATGTGGATGATTGTGGGTGTGGGTAGGAGGGCTGTATGATTTCCAAGGGGTATGCCAGTCTGTGGTTCTGATACTACCTTGTGGAAGCAGTGTTCAGTACCTGAAGGATGACCTGCTCCAGAAGCAGCACTGGCACAGCATTTATTTTCCTTCCCTTCTGAAATCAATGGCTTACAGACTCTTCCTCCTTGGCAAAGGTGCAGGGTAGAGTCAGAGGCAGATTCCTGCTCCAAATTGGGCTCTCTGGTGTGTCCCTGTCCTCCTTGCTGCCCCATACCCTGACCTCTTTTGGTTGTACATTTTATTTCAAAGGAAAATAATTTTTTTTTTTTTTTGCCAAAAGTCTGGGCTAGCCTTGCTTGTCTTGGGGCTCGGGTTCATCTTTCTTTAATGGAACTGAGGTAAGGGACAGGCTCCAGGATAGAGGGAAAAAGTCCATGACAGGGTATGATTCTAAGTGGCATCCCCCATCCCCCCTCTTCTACAGACCTCTTAGGCCTGGAGTCTCCTAAGGTTGGTCTAAGCCACAATTTTGGTGAGTAGGAGTGACTGAGCTATCCCTGTAATGACTCCAGGCTTGGTAGCTGGGATAACTGGGAGAGTCTTGGGTTGAGCCATAGGGTTCTAGCCCCAGCTCTGTTGGTAAAGACCTGCCACCTTAGGGTATAAGCCAACAGTTCTCAAATGCAGGACTGTGAGCACCTGCCTGCAGACTAATGATTCTCAACTTCTCCCTTTCTGAGCCTCAGATCAGAAAGTTTTTCCTTAATGCTTTGCATCTCAGTCCACTATAAAATCTGTGGCTGGGCCCCAGAGCAAGACTGGCCCCTCCAAGGGAGTCCAGAGCTTTGTTAGGGAAATTGGGGGCTGGGGGGAACCACAATGAAGCCTATTGTCTCCTGTCCCCTTTTACAGGAAACAAAAGGCTCCCAGTCTCTGGGGAGCCCTAGCCCATGCCCATCCCCTGCCCAACCCCCAATGTCCAGCACACAGGGAGGAGCCAGGGCCACTGGAGACAGGAGGTTTTATTGATGCTGATGGGGGTAGAAAAGGCCCCCAGGAGCCTGGGAAGGGGGGGGGGCTGAGTCAGTCAGCAGATGCATAAGGCCTGGGCACATGGGGGTAGGTTACGGCACATTCATCTTCTCAGGATTCTATGGCTCCTTCTTTGGGAAAGGGAGAGCATCTTGAGGGGGGAGCAATTCAAAGAGCAGCGAGGGAAAGGTTAGGGACAGCTGAGAGTGCCTAACCTGAGAGAAGGCACCACAATAGGCAGCAACATCTGTGTGGAAAGCTGGATCAACTGGTCAGTAGGGAAAATGGGGGAGGGGTCCAATCTTGGCCTGGGTGAGCTCTCAGGAATACCCGGTGTTCCCAAGCAGAGTGGGGCAGGGCCCAAAGCCCCTTTCTCTGTGGGCCTCCTTAAGGAGAAATAGGCATTCAGAGAAAAGGGCATTCAGGGAGCCCCCTGGCAAGGGGTGCCAGAATTAGTCCTTAAGGCACAGCTGGGGGCAGACAAGGCGCCAAGGCACAACTGGTGGAGGGGAAGGGGCAGCCTCCAAGCTGAGTGCCAGGGTCACAAGAGGACGCAGGACCGCCCACGCTTGATGGGCGTGGGGTTGAGCACAGCCCGGACAGCCTCAGCGAACACTTCCTTGACGCCGTCCTGCTGCAGGGCCGAGCACTCGAGGTAGCGCACAGCATGGATCTGCTTGGCCAGGGCCTGGCCCTGCTGCGGTGTGATGGGCGCCTGGCCCTGCTCCTTAAGGCGCCGTAGGGTGTCAGGCTGGGCTCTCAGGTCCTTCTTGGTGCCCACCAGGAGGATGGGCACATCGGGGCAGTGGTGGCACACTTCTGGATGCCACTTGTGCCGCACATTCTCATAGGAGGGCGGACTGGCAATGGAGAAACAGATGACAAAGACGTTGGTCTGAGGGTAGGAGAGTGTGCGGAGCCGGTCGTACTCCTCCTGGCCCGCTGTGTCCCACAGGTTCAGGTTCACTGTGCGCCCATCAACTGCACTCTGGGCGCTGTAATTGTCGAACACTGTGGGGATGTATTCCTTGGGGAAGGCATTAGTCGTGTAGCAGATGAGCAGGCACGTCTTGCCCACAGCCCCATCGCCCACCACCACACACTTGATGCTCTGCATCGTGGGTGCAGCTGCTACAGTGGAGGCAATGCCTCCTTCCCCTTCTGGGCCCCTCTGGATGCAGTGACCTATGGACAGATTAAAGGGACACACATGGTTATGGAGGCCTCTACCCAAAGGGAAGAATGGGAACACAAAGAGAAACCAGTTCCTGTTCTCTTAACCTAACATCATCCTACAATCCCATCAAGACAGACATCAGAAGGGCGCCTGGGTGGCTCAGTTAAGTGTCTAACTTCAGCTCAGGTCATGATCTCATGGTTCGTGGGTTTGAGCCCCGCATCAGGCTCTGTGCTGATAGCTAGCTCAGAGCCTGGAGCCTGCTTTGGATTCTTTATCTCCCTCTCTCTCTGACCCTCCCCTGCTCACACTGCCCCCCCTCCTCTCAGAAAAAAAAAAAAAAAAAGACATCAGAGAGGCAGATACACAGTGAGAGAGAGGCCCAAAGGTGTAAGGAAGATGGCATGATATATTATGTGAAGCACCTAAGTTCTGGTACCAGACCGAATAAAGTCATATCTTGGTTCTGCTATTTTTACCTGTGTGACCCTTGACAAATTACTTAACCTCTCTATGCTTCAGTTTTCTTATCTGTAAAATGAGAATAAAATAATACCTACTTCATTGGGCTGTTGTAAGGATTATGTAAATTAATACATGTAAGGCATTTAGAACAGTGCCTTGGTCATAATAAGCCTTCAGTAAGCTACTTATTTAAGTAGCTTCAATTAGCTACTTTTTTCTTTTTCCTCCAGGCAGTACAGACACAAAAAGAGGATACACAAGTGTAGGGATCTACCAGATCCTCTACCATATAGGGACCCCTCCCACTGAGTAGGCTACAGAGGGCTTCTGGCACAGAGCAGCTGTCCCAGGTCACTCTGAGATGCAGCCATGGGTGGAGCCTTTACCAACTCAGGGGCCATCTTGCCCAGTGCACTGATGTTTTAACTCTAAACCTGACATCTTGGCTACTGCATGCAAACCAAAAAGCAAAATGAGAAACCTGCTGAGTAAGGAGCACACTTCTCTAGACAGCTGCCCTATCTCAATCCAGGGTGCCCGAGGGGTAGGGGTAGGAGAGAGAGCTGACCCCATAATTCTTGTAAGCACAGCAAACCCTATCTGGCAACTCAGTGCAGGAGAATACTGGAGATTGAGCCAGGGCTGGGATTTGGTCTGGAATCTGGGTGTGTAATGATGATGAATGAGGCAGAGTCTGTGGCTCCCAGACATTAGCATCTTCTCTCAAGGCCCTTGGTGGGGTGAGGTAGATCCTCCAAGCCCAGACAAGAGGGATGGACAGAAGAGGAAAACATTTGATTTCCCCCTTAATGTTCTGTCCTTTTCCTGAGATCATGGCATGTGCCTCTGAAAAATTTCAGAAGTTTTTAAACTCAGGTAGAGAACACAGTGCCATTAAAGCGCTATCACTGAGAATACATGCTGGACTCAGATTGGCCAGGGATTCTAATATCATTTCCACCAACCAGTCATGTTTGATTTTTAGGCAAAATATTTAAGTTTCCCAAGTCTCAATTTTCTCATCTGTAAAATGGGACTAATCTTGTCTATTGTGTTAGAATTATGGAGTATGAAATGAGCTAATATGAAGAAAGTGTTTGGCATGAGGTGTGGCACATAGGAAGTGCCAAATAACAGGCTGCTGTAATTATTAGTGGGGTAAGTAGAAGTCCCAGCTCTAGCCATCACCCTGGTCTCCTCCCACAGCTCACAGGGCCTTGGGGAGAGGAACTGCTCTTATGAGTTCTGGGACAGAGCAGAGCTTCCGGAAGCCCTGTGATTATTTATACTGCTATGGCAAGATTCCTACTCTCATTGGCTACTTCCTCTTGGCCAGGGGGGACTTTTTTTCTGGCCAGTATGTGACTTCCTTTCGCTGACTCTCTCCCACAACCAGGTCCCAGCTCCCTGGAGGGGATGGCCCTGTTTCAGACACACCCAGTCCCTAAGGATCCCTTGTTCCACCCAAGCATCATCACCACCGGCCCATTTTCCCCATTTTACTTCACACAGACTATACCCTGGTCTGAGAACCCGACTCCTCAGGTTGACCTCGCAACCTGAAGAAGCCTCACAAATCAAATGGTTGGGGGGGAAGGCATCCCTCAGTGGGAAGCAGAAAAGGAATTCTGGGCATATGGGATCTGCACAGGACCAAGGGCTTGGTCCCAGTTTGGAGGGAAATGGTTTCACTCCATTTAATCCCCTCTGGGGATTAAAAATATTTCCATCTTATTTGCATGAATACATATGTGTTCAACCTCAGAAGAGAGGATACAGAACCTCAAGGAATGAGTCTGGGAAGGAAATAAGGGTCCCCTAGAGCAGTGGAGAGAACCTCAGACTGGAAATCAAGAGACCTAACATAAGTCCTAGCCCCAGCTCTGCTATGCTGC